TATGCATACATTGCGATTGTCAAGCGGCAATTGGAAGGGCACAGAGCAATCTCTACAATGGTAAGTCTAGACACGTTCGTGGTAGACATAACACCATTAAACAACTCCTCACAACGGGTGTTATCACTGTTGACTACGTGAAGTCAAAGGATAACATAGCGGATCCGCTAACCAAGGCATTGGATAGAGAATTGTTGGAGAAGTTGTCACGAGGAATGGGACTAAAGCCCGTGAATTGAAAAGTTCTATAGTGGATACCCAACCTAGTTGGTCCTAGGTTCAAAAGGGACAACTAAATTATAGAGCGAAGGATGGTCACTGTGGGGGTCCCGGACTCCTACCCACTCCTCGTTAAAACAGTGACTCCCGCACGAGGTTAGCAAAAAAAAAACGTTTGCTTTAATGATTCTAAAATGTTGATCTACTCCATAACATTGGAAGAGTATGCGGGATACTCGTGAAAGAATCACCTATGTGAGAGAGAAGAGGGCCGCTTCAAAGGAGAACTGTAAAGGCTCATTTCTTTAGAAACTCTTGCAGAACCAGGACGGTGACCCATGGCCAGAACGGGCACACCCATGAGAACGGAACAAAGTTGGAAGGTTCTTGTGTAAAGATAAGTCAATGTTTACACGACGGCAGTATAGTTCAAGGACATCGAGTCTACTAGACAGCCAGTAAATAAACGTGTCTTTACAACGGAAGGTTCAAAGGATAAAACCTACCTCTCCGTATGCAAGGATCATCCGGTGAACACAACGTGTCCTCCTATCTTCGTGTCTTTTTAAGTCTCGAAAATCAATTTTCATTCATGTGGGGGATTGTTGGAAAAATGTGTTAAAATTGCATTAAATGGTCTTTTTGGGGCAATTATTTGAGTGGGGTCCACTTCCGATTTGGGTCGGGTCAAAGTGGTTTCGGATTGTCCTTGTTAAGGGCTACAATTCGATATATGGTACACTCAAAACGGATAACGGGTGAATGAGAAATTGATTCTCGAAGTTCACTCGTTGAAATGGAAAAACTGGGAAAATGGTGAGTTTCTAGTGTGTTTTATCCCACACCGAAAAACTCAAGGGATTTTCACCCCCTTATAAAGGGAAGTCTCTTTTAAGGAGTTAAGATTCCTAAAGGGAAAGGCTCTCTCTTACGCGCAGGGGGGGGGGGTGCCGATCAAATCCCGAAACGGAGAAGAAAAACCGCGACTCGTGTGTGCGGGCGACCTGCGGACACAAATGTCGTCCGAAAACCTATCATTCAAAGATACGGTCTAAGTTTTGTTTCTTCCCGTAACGTTTTATTTTTTCCAAGGATCAGAGTTGCTCGAACTCTGGTGGCTTCGGATCAGAGTTGCTCGAACTCTGGTGGAGGTTTTCTGGTAGCATCAGAACTGCTCCAACTCTGGTGGGGGTATTCTGATCGTGCACCAGAACTGCTCCAAGCCGTTACAACCATTAAATGCCCAACGTTCTTGTCTTTTAATGCAACGTTAAATGGACAGTTTATGGACGATTCATTGCCCAACGGATTGGTCATTGAAGTCCAACGTTCAGGTCCATTAACACCCCATTTAACACACAACAAATCCTCCTATAAATAGCTGGCAGGTCCTTTGCAACAACACAACGCACAATACATTCCTCACGAATTTCTTGAGCTAAAAACACCTAAAGCTACTCAGCAAACTTCCTTCTGTGTTCATACTTGGTTCTCGTTCGCTGGAACTCTTGTTTGTGTGCTCAAACATTAGTTCGTAGTCATCGTATCCTGGGAAACGATTGTTGCAACGCTCCTAGCACCGTGGGAGGCAACAAATACGTTTTAAGGAAATCGTGCGTAGCACGAGCTTTGACTAATTCTGCTTCATCTCCTTTCCTGTTTTTCTTTAGTCATTTTATTTAATTAATTTATTTTAATTAACTTTCTTTATTTTCCGAAACACACCCAACAATAAATTCCATTAGGATGATACTAGCGATTGCCGCTTTGCGGAATTTGGAAGTTCATCAAATGGACGTAAAAACCGCTTTTCTAAATGGCGATATAGACGAAGAAATCTATATGGAACAACCCGAGGGTTTTCGTGTTCCAAGTCAAGAAAAGAAGGTTTGTAAATTAATTAAATCATTGTATGGATTGAAACAAGCCCCTAAACAGTGGCACGAAAAGTTCGATCATGCAATGTTAATTAATGGGTTTAAAATAAACGAAAGTGACAAATGCGTCTATGTGAAAAGCACGGTAGACGGCTATGTCATTTTATGTTTATACGTGGATGATATACTCATCGTGGGTAGCAATAATCTAATGATTAATTCTACCAAAAGCATGTTAAATTCTAAATTTGACATGAAGGATATGGGGCTGGCCGATTTAATCCTTGGGATTAAAATAATTAGAGGACCTGACGGTCTAACGCTAAGCCAATCTCATTACGTTGATAAAATCCTTACTAAATTTAATAAGGATGATTATCAAGAGGCAAGGACGCCATTAGATAAAAACACTCATCTTACCAAAAATCGTGGAGAGTGTATTTCTCAAGTAGAATACGCTAGGATTATTGGAAGTTTGATGTATCTAATGAGTTGTACCAGGCCTGATATTGCCTTTGTGGTTAGTAAGCTAAGTAGATATACTAGCAACCCCGGTGCTGAACACTGGAAGGCAATAATACGGGTTTTGAGGTATTTACGTAAAACCCAAAACCTTGGACTGCACTATGGAAGATATCCAGCTGTACTTGAAGGGTATAGCGACGCTAGTTGGATATCAGACATAAAGGACTCTAAGTCCACAAGTGGATATGTTTTCACTTTGGGAGGTGCAGCCGTGTCATGGAAATCCTCGAAACAAACGTTAATAGCTAGATCCACGATGGAATCTGAGCTAATAGCCTTGGATAAGTGCACTGAAGAGGCTGAATGGCTACGCCATTTTCTCGAGGATATTCCAAGTTGGGAGAAGCCTGTCCCTCCAATATGCATACATTGCGATTGTCAAGCGGCAATTGGAAGGGCACAGAGCAATCTCTACAATGGTAAGTCTAGACACGTTCGTGGTAGACATAACACCATTAAACAACTCCTCACAACGGGTGTTATCACTGTTGACTACGTGAAGTCAAAGGATAACATAGCGGATCCGCTAACCAAGGCATTGGATAGAGAATTGTTGGAGAAGTTGTCACGAGGAATGGGACTAAAGCCCGTGAATTGAAAAGTTCTATAGTGGATACCCAACCTAGTTGGTCCTAGGTTCAAAAGGGACAACTAAATTATAGAGCGAAGGATGGTCACTGTGGGGGTCCCGGACTCCTACCCACTCCTCGTTAAAACAGTGACTCCCGCACGAGGTTAGCAAAAAAAAAACGTTTGCTTTAATGATTCTAAAATGTTGATCTACTCGATAACATTGGAAGAGTATGCGGGATACTCGTGAAAGAATCACCTATGTGAGAGAGAAGAGGGCCGCTTCAAAGGAGAACTGTAAAGGCTCAGTTCTTTAGAAACTCTTGCAGAACCAGGACGGTGACCCATGGCCAAAACGGGCACACCCATGAGAACGGAACAAAGTTGGAAGGTTCTTGTGTAAAGATATGTCAATGTTTACACGACGGCAGTATAGTTCAAGGACATCGAGTCTACTAGACAGCCAGTAAATAAACGTGTCTTTACAACGGAAGGTTCAAAGGATAAAACCTACCTCTCCGTATGCAAGGATCATCCGGTGAACACAACGTGTCCTCCTATCTTCGTGTCTTTTTAAGTCTCGAAAATCAATTTTCATTCATGTGGGGGATTGTTGGAAAAATGTGTTAAAAATTGCATTAAATGGTCATTTTGGGGCAATTATTTGAGTGGGGTCCACTTCCTATTTGGGTCGGGTCAAAGTGGTTTCGGATTGTCCTTGTTAAGGGCTACAATTCGATATATGGTACGCTCAAAACGGATAACGGGTGAATGAGAAATTGATTCTCGAAGTTCGCTCGTTGTAATGGAAAAACTGGGAAAATGATGAGTTTCTAGTGTGTTTTATCCCACACCGAAAAACTCAAGGGATTTTCACCCCCTTTTAAAGGGAAGCCTCTTTTAAGGAGTTAAGATTCCTAAAGGGAAAGGCTCTCTCTTACGCGCAGGGGGGGGGGTGCCGATCAAATCCCGAAACGGAGAAGAAAAACCGCGACTCGTGTGCGCGAGCGACCTGCGGACACGAATGCCGTCCAGAAATCTATTTCTCAAGAGATACGGTTAATTTTTGTTTTCTTCCCCTCAAACATTAGTTCGTAGTCATCGTATCCTGGGAAACGATTGTTGCAACGCTCCTAGCACCGTGGGAGGCAACAAATACGTTTTAAGGAAATCGTGCGTAGCACGAGCTTTGGCTAATTCTGCTTCATCTCCTTTCTTGTTTTTTTTTCTCTAGTCATTTTATTTAATTAATTTATTTTAATTAACTTTCTTTATTTTCCGAAACACACCCAACAATTTTTACATTAATTTTTTGTAATGATGATGATTTGTGTGTGTTCCTAGAGTAGAGGTGAGCTTGTCGTTTGCGGATATGGCAGACCTTGCTAGGAGTGAGGGCAGGTGATTTTATGTGGGCAAGCTGCGTACAAATGGTTGTTGTTGGTTAATGGAGAAGCGCGCGATCGGCAATTCGTGGGTCGTGATTCTAAATACGGGTCAGCGTTCAAATGTAAGTCTGGCGGAAGGATCAGAGAAGTTAAAAGAGGAATGCTTGCGTCTGAATGTGAAGAAGTGATGTGAAGGAGCTGAGCGATTTAGTAGTTATTTGTCTGAGCGAATAAGTCCTGCTGAAAAATAAGTCCTGAATAAGGAGTCCTTTATAGTTGAGTCATTATGTTCATCATTTCATATATTTCCATTAAGACCATTAAGTCCAAAATAAACAGGGCCTAAATAGTGGTATATTGGTCCAGCCCACTCCGCCACCCAAGTAGGCCCATGTAGTATGTAAGACGGGGCTTCGGCTATGGATAATTGGACAGCATACTTGCAGATCGACCTTCATTGTTAGTTATTCGTTCTGTGTTTCTTTTTCTTCCTCATTCAACGCCACGTCGCCACCGGCATCGGATTTACAGTCACAACAATCCAAAATGGTGGTTGAGCATGGAAATTTAAAACTACTGCAAATAAATTGAAGACGGAAGTTCCAATCTCCTGGAAGAACCTCTTTGATATGGAACCGTGGGATACCTAGGTATACAAATAAACAAACTCGAATTTATTCTTCATTCGTAGAATAATGAATGCTCCGTATTGAAATTTATGTTGTATCGAGTTTCAGATCGTTGTAATTATCAGTTTGCTTTCAGATTAAAGTGTGATCAAACTTTGATTACATTTTCTGCTGATGGAAAGGTATAAAGTTCTATTACCATTAATGCAAAGAATTTCGACCTTAAAAAATGACAGCACTCCCTGCAAAATCGAAGAGGTAATTATAAATTTACGAAAGCTTATTATAATTCCGAGATTATATTGTGCAAGCTGAGAATATTGTTCTTTCTATATGACCATATATAAACTACTCCGGAATAATCTAATACAAATAACCTTATTATTTATTACCTCTTAATCTCAGGGTCTGTACTTAGGATCTTTTGGAGCTGCTGAAAACAGGAGTGAACTGAAAAGCTTGAATATTACACATATATTGACGGTTTCAAATTCACTATCTTCTCTATATCCAAATGATTTTGCGTATAAGACCATTAGCGGTATGACATTTTCTCTTTAATCTGTTTCTTTTCTACATTCAGCTCTTCAGGTTTCCACTAGCATCAAATTTGAATTTTTTATTAAAGTAATTATTTTTCTAAACCAGCAATTCCCATTCTCTTGTCTGGAAAACTGTGGTCATTAAGACTGAGAAAAAATCACTATCAATTAGCTCTCTTAAATTATAGAAATAGTAATCTAGTTTTAGTATTATTATAGTTTCTCTTTTTCATATAGATTTAAGGTTTAGATTTCCTATTTTCAAGGGTTGAGGTTCACTATTCCTCCGTATCAGCATTGGAATAGTCTCTAAAATTATGAAGTTGTAAGTTAAAAGTCATATCAATACAAGTAGCAGTTTATTCAACTCGTTCTATTAATTTGTTAACAAAAATTTAAAATCTATATAACAGTATCAGATAAAGGAGATGTTGACATAGCACAATATTTTGAGGAGTGTTTTGAATTCATTGAAGAAGGGAAGAGGAGTGGTGGTGTCTTGGTTCATTGCTTTCTGGGAAGGTCCCGAAGGTAATCTTTCTCAGACTTATACATCTTATATTTTAAGCCTTAGATCGTGTAGGTAAATCTAGCCCTACAAGCTTAATGATTCTTTTCTTCAGTTTAGTCTCTTCTTTGAAATCTGTTTCTTGGCTTACAAGCTTTCAAGATACAATCTCATGTCTAAAATCTTAGACTACTCATTTTATATGGTTAAGTTTTTAGGATTTCAAATTTTGGTTCCCATACTAACCAAATATAATAATACAATATAATGATACGAACTGTCAAATAACGTTCTGGACTACCCTATTAGCTTGACCTTTTAGAATTGAACTTCAAATTTTAGTAAAAATTTCGTTGTCAAGTTATGTAACTGAGACAATACAATTGTTTTTGACAGTGTAACTATAGTATTGGCTTATCTGATGAAAAAGCATGGTATGAGCTTAGCTCTAGCTTTGGAACATGTGAGAAAGGGAAGGAAAGAAGCATGGCCTAACTCTGGTTTTATAGCACAGCTGAAGGACTTGGAGAAAACTCTTCAAGGTGATATACGATTTTTCAGAATACATTATATAATTCTGACTTGAGTATGTAAATACCTTGTACTATGAATGTGGCTGAAAAAGTACATTATACCTTCATCCACATCATTTGCATGGAGATGAGGGTACGACACTGTTACACAAAGTAGTTGAAAAACCAAAACTTTGGAGTGTGAATATTTAACATGCCATTCATATTATTACCTTACTGAAAGAATTCATTACTGATATTTGTCATGTCACTTGCATGATGATACATAGGGACTTCAAATCTACAGGGCTGAAGGAATTCGAATTCATCAATTGTAGTAATCACAGGACCAGGTAATATATCCTAAACTGTTTCTATACCATATGATTATGTGATTCATGTGAGAATCTTTCTTTCATTATTTTTACTTGAAAATGATTCAGAAAATTTGAAAGAAAGTCCCATTTTTATGTATATTGAATTATAAATACTCTTTATTTTTCTTTTTTTCTTTTTCTCCTCCATGTAAGCATTGCAGATTGATCTGCCAGTCTTAACCTGAAGGGACATTCTTTCATGAACTCGAATTTCTCCAATCAAAACCTTAATGGATTATATATTTTCATTTTAATGCCAAAGCACATGTCAACTATCTAGAGCTTGAGAGTATTTCATCAGTCCATTTCATCACACAATTCTACATGCTCAAGGGGGGTCTATGTTTTGTATATTTTGTTTCACCATTCCGTACTGTTGGGATCCCTACTTAATTGGAGAGGTTCTAGAAAATTCTAGAGCTTTCTAGAGAAGTATAGAATTTTCTAGAACGTTGCGGAGAATCCTAGAGAAGTCTAGAACTCTCTAGAAGCTTGCGGAATAATGTGGAATCCTCTGGAATATTCTAGAGATGTGTGGAACCTTCCGGAAGCTTATGGAAGAGTATGGAAGCATATGGAAGAGAATGGAGAGGTGTAGAGATTCCTAGAATAGGTAGTCATGTAGATCATTCTAGAGAAATATTCTCCACCACTCATTATGGAGGTGGAGTAGTATAAATAGGAGTAGGAGCCTCCATTCCTAACTATCCCAATCCAATCCTAGCAATCCTAGCAAGAGAAAAACCATTTCCAAGAGTGAGAAAGCTAGAGAGTTAGAGAGCCTCTTTGAGAGAGAAGAGAGTTAGCTTGGGAAGTTCCTATCCTCAAGCTTGAGTGAGCCACCATTGAGTGAGACAATTTTGTAACATCCTTGTAAATCCTACTATTCTTTTGTATAGTGGAAGAATCTCCATATTGGAGAATTTAAATCGTGTGCTCCCATTACTACTTAAATCCCTAAGTGCCTATCTTAACTTCACGAAGCGGGAAAGTCCAGAGTTTTTCCCAACAGTGGTATCAGAGCCAAGTTCATCTGAGGTCGTCATTAGCTCGTGCAGTTCAAGATGGAGGATAACGTCGCTCATGATGGAGACATGTTCAAGCTTACCGCCAACAACTACTCATATTGGAAGCCAATGATGGAAGACCATTTATACTGCAAGGATTTGCATGAGCCCATCATCTATAAAGAGAAGGTGGAAGGCAAGAGTGACGCTCAATGAGAGCTACTGAATCGGAAAGCCGTTGCTATGATCCGTAAGTACATCGACAAATCCCTCTTCGAGCATGTGTCCACTTACACGAATGCTTATGAATTATGGACAAAACTTGAGTCCATGATTCAAAAGAAGACACCTCGTAATAAAGCCAATTTAGTTCGACGGTTGGTGAAATTGGAGTATAAGGATGGTCAAAGTATGATTGAACACTTGAATAACTTCAAGGGGCTCGTAAATCAACTAACAAAAATCGAGATGAAGATTGATGACGAGTTGCAAGCCCTTCTACTCCTTAGTTCCTTGCCAGAAAGTTGGGACACACTCGTGGTTACATTTAGTAACTCAGCTCCGGAAGGAAAGCTAACCATGGACACCGTCAGTGATAGTCTTCTTGGCGAAGAATCAAGGAGAATGGAACGAGGTGAGTCTATGCATCCTGAGGCTAATGTTATCGAGAACCGGGGTAGGAATGAGACTCGTGGACGCAGTAAAAGCCGAGATCCGCAACAATCTCGAGGTAGGTCCAAGTCACGCTCGAAGATCACATGCTACTACTGTGGAAGAATGGGCCACAGGAAAATGGAGTGTCGATCCTTCAAGAGAGACTAGAAGGCCGGTAACGTCAAACCAGACCAAGTCACCCCTACGAAGAAGCAAGAAGAGAAGAGTACCACTACCGTAGTCGCAAAAGAAGATCTGCTATATCTCGTTGGAGAAGGTAATATCTTAAACATTGCTTGTGATGATAGTTCCTGGATAATCGATTCTGGTGCTTCGTTCCATGTCACTCCCCATGGAAGTTTCTTCTCATCCTACCAAAGTGGTGACTTCGGTACGGTTCAAATGGGAAACCAAGATAGGAGCAAGATCGTTGGGATAGGAGATATCGTCCTGACAACTAGCACCGGATGCAAGCTTGTTCTTAAAGATGTGAGGCATGTACCGGCCATGCGCCTCAATCTTATATATGTTGGGAAGCTAGATGATGTTGGTCTGATGAATTACTTTGGTGAAGGAAAATGGAAGCTCACCAAAGGAAGTCTGGTCATGGCTCGAGGGAAGAAGGAAGCATCGTTGTATGTGATGCAAGCTAAGCTCTGCAAAGGAGAGGTAAATATAACCACTGATGACATGGAGGTATGGCATAAACGACTTGGCCACATCAGTGAGAAGGGCCTTCACATACTTGCTCGGAAGCAACTCCTCCCGGACGTGAAAGGTAAGTCACTTGATTCTTGTGCACATTGTTTAGCTGGAAAACAACACAGGGTTGCTTTCCAAAGATCTTCTCCACCTACTAGGAGAAAGAATATTCTCGACCTTGTACACACTGATGTGTGCTCAATGTCTGAGAAATCCATTGGTGGTGCATTGTATTTTGTGACCTTTATTGATGATCATTCAAGAAAGGTATGGTTGCACCTGTTAAAATCCAAGGATCAAGTGCTTGACGCTTTCAAGGAATTCCACGCTCTAGTAGAACGTGAGACTGGACGAAAGATCAAGTGTGTACGATCTGACAATGGAGGTGAGTATAGAGGTCACTTTGAAGCCTATTGCAAGAAATATGACATTAGGCTAGAGAAGACTCCACCCAAGACACCACAACTGAATGGGCTAGCTGAGAGAATGAATAGAACTATTGAAGAAAGAGTTCGTTGTGTGCTCTCTCATGCTAAGTTACCCAAATCCTTTTGGGGAGAAGCTATAATGGCCGTAGTTGACATTGTCAACCTCACACCATCAGTCCATTTGAACGGTGCCATCCCAGAGGAAGTCTGGACGGGCAGAAAGGCTTCATACAATCATCTTAAGGTGTTCGGGTGCAGAGCATTTGTCCACATTTCCAAAGACGAGCGAGCTAAGCTCGACGCAAAGACGAAGGAGTGCATATACCTTCGCTCACCCAAGGATGAATTCGGCTATCGGCTATGGGATCCAATCAACAAGAAGGTTGTTCGTAGCAGAGATGTGGTGTTCTTCGAAGACCAAACAATTGAAGACATTAAAAACTCGGAGAAGCCAAGATTGAGAAGCAGCAGGAGCACCGGACCTACGCAAGTTCGATGTGAGGATACTGATCCACATCAAGACAATAATGTTGAAGACCATGAGCCTGTGTTAGAGCAAAGAAACCAGGAGACTCATGATGAACCAACTCAGGAAGATCCTCAATCTAGTTCTCTGAAGCCGAGGCGATCCTCAAGGGAGAGAAGACCATCCACTCAGTACAACACCGAGGAGTACGTGATGCTCACGGATGAGGGGAGCCACAAAGCTATAAAGAAGCAATCTGTGATGTTCATAAGGAAGAGTGGAGAAGAGCCATGCAAGAAGAGATGCAATCCTTGCATGAGAATCACACTTATGAACTTGTGGAGCTGCCAAAAGGGAGAAGAGCCTTGAAGAATAAATGGGTGTATCGAATCAAGACCGAAGATAATAGCTCAAAGCCTCGTTACAAAGCTCGATTGGTTGTCAAAGGATTCGGTCAAGAAAAAGGCATCGACTTTGAGGAAATATTCTCTCCTGTGGTAAAGATGTCATCCATCCGAGTTGTTCTTGGCCTAGCAGCGGCGCAAGATTTGGAGATTGAATCAGGGCCGGTCATGGGAAAACACGGGCCCTGTGCAAAAATAAAAAGTATGTCTTTTTAAAAATAGGTAGACATATAATGTAAGTGAAGATTATATTTGTAATAATTTGCTACAACAATAATTTGTATCAAAATACAAGTTATTCACTAAAAAAATAGTTGAAACAAAAGTGTTCCTCAACAAAATACACTTCATTTATTTGTTAAACGGAATTATAAACTAACAGACTCATAACCTAATAATCGAAATTGGTGATTTGCTGAGTTCAATTATTACAAACCATCCAAATATAATTATCTACTCACTAAATCATTCAAACTCAGAATTAAAACCCAAAAAAAAGAATAATATAAGGATTACAAAATATGTAGTATAAGAAATAAGATAGTGTTTTATCATTCAAAATTATGATATAAAAACGTTAATTGAAAGTGTTTTCACATCAACCCAACAGTTGAGTTGGTTCACCACTCGTATGTGTAAGCAACCCACCCGGGTTCGAAACCTCTTGGCTACATAAGGTTTAGAGATTCATCGGGCTTACCTTTTGGGCACATTAGTTCATAAGTAATAATAGGAAGACTTTTAAAATTTTGGGCCCTTCGAATTTACGGGCCCTGTGCGGTTGCACTGCTTGCACTTGCCCTGGGCCGACCCTGGATTGAACAACTCGATGTCAAGACAGCGTTCCTTCACGGCGACCTAGAGGAAGAGATCTACATGGAGTAGCCCGAAGGGTTCAAAGTTCTCGGCCTCAAACAAGCATCGAGACAGTGGTACAAGAAGTTTGAGTCCTTCATGGCAGAGCATGATTTTACAAAGACAAAGAGCGATCATTGTGTCTTCATAAAGAGGTATGCAAGTGGCGACTTTCTCATACTTCTACTCTATATTGATGATATGTTGATTGTTAGACAAGATCGCGTAAAGATAGATGCTTTGAAGAAAGATCTAAGCAAGAGCTTCGCCATGAAAGATTTGGGACCGGCTAAACAAATCCTTGGGATGAGAATAACTCGTGACAGAACGAAGAGACTGTTGTGGCTATCCCAAGAGAGGTACATTGAGAAAGTGTTGGAACGGTTCAACATGAACAAATCAAAGCCGGTAAACACACCACTTGTTGGACACTTCAGATTGAGTTCGAAGCAAAGTCCCACAAGTGAGAAAGAAAAGGAGGAAATGAAGAAGATTCCATACTCATCTGTAGTAGGCAGCCTCATGTATGCAATGATATGCACAAGACCATATATCGCCTATGCAGTTGGAGTCGTTAGTCGTTTCTTGGCCAACCCTGGGAGTGAACATTGGGTAGCGGTCAAATGGATCCTCCGGTATTTACGTGGAACTTCCAAAAGATGTTTATGCTTTGGAAAAGGAAAACCTGTGTTAGAAGGATATACAGATGCAGACTTGGCCGGTGATATTGATTCAAGGAAATGAACATCGGGATACCTAACTACTTTTGCAGGGGGAGCTGTTTCCTGGCAATCAAAGCTGCAAAAGTGTGTTGCATTATCCACCACAGAGGCAGAGTACATCGCAACTACTGAAGCTTGCAAGGAGATGTTGTGGATGAAGAATGTGTTGCTCGAGCTGGGAATAGATCAAGAAAGGTACGTGTTGAAGTGCGACAATCAAAGTGCAATTTACTTGGCGAAGAACTCAACATTTCATTCCCGCACGAAGCACATTGATACAAGGTATCATTGGATCCGAGAAGTCCTCGAAGAAAAGAAATTGCATCTTGACAAGGTTCACACAGACGAGAACTGGTCAGACATGATGACCAAGGTTATACCGACAAAGAAGTTCGAAGATTGTTGTCAAAGTGCAGGTTTGCTACAACCCCCCAATTAAGTTGGGAGGGGGAGATTTGTTGGGATCCCTACTTAATTGGAGAGGTTCTAGAAAATTCTAGAGCTTTCTAGAGAAGTATAGAATTTTCTAGAACGTTGCGGAGAATCCTAGAGAAGTCTAGAACTCTCTAGAAGCTTGCGGAATAATGTGGAATCCTCTGGAATATTCTAGAGATGTGTGGAACCTTCCGGAAGCTTATGGAAGAGTATGGAAGCATATGGAAGAGAATGGAGAGGTGTAGAGATTCCTAGAATAGGTAGTCATGTAGATCATTCTAGAGAAATATTCTCCACCACTCATTATGGAGGTGGAGTAGTATAAATAGAAGTAGGAGCCTCCATTCCTAACTATCCCAATCCAATCCTAGCAATCCTAGCAAGAGAAAAACCATTTCCAAGAGTGAGAAAGCTAGAGAGTTAGAGAGCCTCTTTGAGAGAGAAGAGAGTTAGCTTGGGAAGTTCCTATCCTCAAGCTTGAGTGAGCCACCATTGAGTGAGACAATTTTGTAACATCCTTGTAAATCCTACTATTCTTTTGTATAGTGGAAGAATCTCCATATTGGAGAATTTAAATCGTGTGCTCCCATTACTACTTAAATCCCTAAGTGCCTATCTTAACTTCACGAAGCGGGAAAGTCCGGAGTTTTTCCCAACACGTACAAAGTAGAATCCAACATTTAGACTCTAGAGGGTGTTTGCATTGACTTTGTTTTTTTATAATCTGAACCAGAATTCTAATTTTTGGTTGTATGTGATAACATTGAGAATCACTTATAATTGTTTGTATAAATTGATTTTTTAAGATGCTTCTTTGTAGGGCTAGTTAAGGGGAGCTTAGAACTGGAGCATATAGACGAAGACCCGGAGGTATCCCGGGACGTGTAGTATTGGGCATAGCCCGTGAGTATGTATTCTTGTCCATGGTGTCAATGATGTATGGTGTAGGAGTTGATATTATAATGTAACATTTCAATCATTAGTGTAGTTCTATTGTCTTTCTCCAGAATGTGAATTTAAACTTTTTCAGGCCATGAGGGGTTCTTTCTGAAGAAATGCTTAATATGAATTCTTATACGTAGCATTATACAAACAATTTTCACTCGGGGAGCATTATTTGCGCAGTACATTTGAAGCTATGATGTAGAGTTGTAGATGGTACTCAACCTTTTGAACCCGGCTTCACATCCAATATATAGCTTATGTCTGCCATTCTACCCAAATATCATTGGATATGGAGTTTATGGTCTGACATAACACACGAACTTAGCAATTGAGCATTACAAGAATTATGTCCGATAACCAGCTTTAGGTATAAGAATCTAACATAGGCCAGTCACCAAAAACTATCTCTAATACTTCCTCCGGTTCTTATTTAAGTTCTTAGTTTGACTTCACACATATTAAGAAAATGAATTTGACTTTACTGTGGAGTGCACTGTTTGGCACTGTTTGGACACTGTTTGACACTGTTTGACACTGTTTTGCAATGTTTTGTTTCCTAAAATGGAAGTGTGAACTTAAATAAGGGACATCCCAAAAAGGAAAGTGGGAACTTTAATAAGAACCGAAAATATTGACATACTTATACAATTAGTCCAATATTGATATAGATGACTGTAAACACTAGATGGATAAATATATTGATAGGAAAAGTCATTTACCTTAAATTTTGTAGAGTTGATAGTAGGTTTATGTATAACAATGTAGGAAGATACAATAGACTTTGATTGTTGTATACATTCTGGCCTACTCGGAAAATGAAAAGTAAGATGATCAACAGGTACATAATATCCTAAAACTCTAAAATCCTAAGACAATAGTTGTTAGAATAAATTTCACTTTTGATCCTAGGAGTAGGGATGATAATGGGGTGGTTCGGGCCAGGTATGCCATTATCCGTACGACCGTATCCGCCCCATTATTTGATTTATAATCCTCGTACCCATCCTGTTCACTGCCATGTAACTTTTTACCCGAACTATGCCCAGTTGGAATGAGGAACACTTTTCCCTGCGAGTAACCACAACATTTAATGAAAATTTTGTTTTTCTAAAATAATATCATTAACAAACAATAACTTAATTATCCATTGACCACTCTTTTTTTCAATAAGCACCGCAAATCAAATCAAATCTTATCACAAAGTTAAAATATAATTACATTGTAATTATAACAATTATAGTATTACACATGCACAAAACAAAAACAAAGCAACACTTACACGTGGAACTTTTATACTCTTAAATCATTTACATGGAAAATTACAGCAACTACATAGGCTAGTTAAAACTAAAGTGAAAGGGAAACTAAACTAATTTTTACATGGAAAATTATAGCAACTACTCAAATTAATCTCCTCTCGTACAAGTGATACTTCGTATATTTTACAAATTATATGGTATATACCTAATCTATGAAGTATTTACATTATACATTAAATATATAATCTATTGAAATATATAAATATATATTATATAATATTAAGTATATAATCTATTGAAATATTTATGGTATTTACTTGTGTAATTTGGAAACTTTGTTACAAACTGAATTAATAAAGTTTAATATACGAATAGATTTTCTGACACAAATTACAAAAAGACACCATACACACATAAGTAACTCAAAATTGATTAAAAATTAAACATTTAAACATGCTCACTATAAGTAACACAAACTACTGTTTTTTGTGGCTAAAATGCGATTTTCTATACGCCCTCTTTAATTACTTATATCATACGACCTAATCCGGAGTAGTATATTTTATTTTCTTGCTAAAATAATCCCACGTATTTGCAATTCGACCTAACCATTACCAATATATTTTATGAAGAACATTGATCCAAAATGAATTCTTAGTGTTACGGCAGTCGTATCCTCGATCAAATGCTATGAGCTTTCTTGCTACAACATACAATGAACCTTTTTCAACTAATAGTGCTCATGAACAGAATAAAATAATAACAAGTCTAAACCCAACAGAATAATAAATCACATATACATCTATTTTTAAAGTCCCCTTGCTCACTTATCAAGAAAATATGAGTAAACATATTCTTTTTTCAACATAAAAACTGTTATTAAAAAGTTATGTAAATAATTCACAATCTCTATTAATATTATCATATTGAATCCCATTAACTGACACAACAGGGGCATGCTCCGTGTGTTACACTAGTTATAGTTTTATTTTAATGTCGGTCTTACATTTAAGCTTAACTTAGTTTATACTCCCTCTATCCCGGCATCCCGCTAAAATTGTCTCATTTTTCCTTTTTGATCCGTTCTACTAAGATTGTCTCATACCAAATTTCGTAAAATTTGTGTGGATCAAAATCATTCTTACTTTATTCTTACTTTATCAATTCAATATCAACCACATAAATCCACTTTTATTGATACGTGTGTCACTTCGTTTTGTACTATTAGTCGGACAGAGAGAGTATGTTGTACGACACCACATTTTGTATCCTCATGATTGCTTCCACCAAATCTGTCTCTACCATACTGAAAATAACTTGTTGTTTTCATAACGTTTTCATAATACGAGTAATTTTAATTTTTAGACAAACTTGGATTTTTATTCGTTTGGATTCGATGCATCTGGCCTAGGGTTGGGTTCGACGTTGACCTAAACCCAAATAGCAAACCAATGTAAAAAGTTCGGTCAGTTTGTTCGATTCAGTTTGGTTTTTTTTTTGGTTTTGTGTCAAAATACATTTGTTGATTAAAAACATAGTAATTGATAAGCGGGAACCAAAAATAAGCCTACATCGAACCATAATTAATGATAATATAATAATTAATGATAATATAATACAAAACCACTATTAAAAAAGACCGAAGTACATGCATACCAAAAATAAGCCTACATCGAACCATAATTAATGATAATATAATAATTATTAATAATAATAATAGAATATGTTTTAAGATTGTTGGGTGTGTTTCGGAAAAACGAAGAAATATAATTAATAAAATTAATTAATTAATTAATAAAATAGCTAAAGAAAAACAGAAATAAGATGGAGCAGATTTTAGCCAGAACTCGTGCTACGCACGATGTCCTTAAAACGTATTCGTCGGCTCCCACGGTGCTAGGAGCGTTGCAACGACCGTTTCCCAGAATACGGTGGCTAATGAACTAACGTTTGAGCACACAAACGAGAGTTCTGGCGAACTGGAACACAGTATGAACACTTAGGAATTTTCTGAGTAGCTGGAAGTGTTTTAGAGCTCAAAAATACGTGAGGAATGTGTTGTGAGTTGTAAGAACGTGTGTTGTTGCAAAGCACCTGCCAGCTATTTATAGGAGGATTTGTTGTGTGTTAAATGTAGTGTTAATGGACCTGAACGTTGGACATCAATGACCAGTCCGTTGGGCATTGAATCGTCCATAAACTGTCCATTTAACGCAACATTAAAAGACAAGAATGTTGGGCATTTATTGCTGTAACGGACCAGAAGACCTTCTGGTGCGAATAGAATACCTCACAAGAACACCTCGAGGTGTTGGCTGGTCTGAAGCCAACAGAAGACCCCAAGGCCTTCTGTGGAAGCGAGCAGAAACCCTCAGGTCTTCTGATCCAACAAAAACCCTCTTAGGTTCTCTGGTGTCCAACAGAAATCCTCTTAGGTTCTCTGGTTCGGAAGGCAACAGAAAGCGGAGCAGTTCTGGAAAAAATAAAACGTTACGGGAAGAACAAAAAATTAGACCGTATCTTTGAATGATAGATTTTTCAGACGGCATTCGTGTCCGCAAATCGCCCGCACACACGACTCGCGATTTTTCTTCTCCATTTCGGGATTTGATCGGCACCCCCTTGCGCATAAGAGAGAGCCTTTACCTTTAGGAATCTTAACTCTTTAAAAGAGGCTTCCCTTTATAAGGGGGTGAAATCCCTTGAGTTTTCCGGTGTGGGATAAAACACACTAGAAACCCTTCATTTTCCCACTTTTTTTCATTTCAACGAGTGAACTTCGAGAATCAATTCCTCATTCACCTATTATCCGTTTTGAGTGCACCACATATCGGATTGTAGTCCTTAACAAGGACAATCCGAAACCACTTTGACCCGACCCAAATCGGAAGTGTACCCCACTCAAATAATTGCCCCAAAATGACCATTTAATGCAATTTTTTACACATTTTTCCAACACTTCCAAACAACGAATTAGAGTGTATATCTCAATAAGTATTATTTAAAATAATTAAATGCATAAGCTCATATACGAAATATATATAGTGTAGCCTCAAGTTAATCTTTTATTCGTAAGGGTTGTGTACATTGATATATTTTCTTTTTTACTAAAACAATTTTTATTAATGGTACTTAATTTGAATCACTTAAACATTAGTTTCCAATTAGTTCCTAATAATTTGAAATACCTTCACTTTTATTCGTGAATCACACCTAGACATTCTAATTTGTTTCCAATTTTTCTATCCACCTAAACATTATACAAATGCACATATAGATTTCATGAACGCATCATTGAATATTCAAAACCTTTTTGTAATTATTTTACTATACCATACACATGTGTTTTGAAACTAATTTCTGTAATCCCAATGTTATTCCACAGAGAGTGCGGTAATCCACTCGTGCTCTTTTAAGAAAGAAAAAAAAAAGGACGACACCCCATCCTTGAGGGCTCCCAATTCCGACCGGATGATGTAAATTGGACTATAATCTCAATCTGATAGATAGATAGTGTGGTTCTGTCCCCGGTACTTGCAGAGGCCCTATGCATTTTTAGCATAGTAACCTCTCATCACAGTTGCCGGGATTCGAACCCGGGACCTAACTCTTGTAGCACTCCCTTGCTACCAGTTGAGCTACGTCCACCGGTCGTGCTCTTTTAAGAAGGCTCGTCCGTCAACCCCATAACGAGGGGTTGATATCGTAGTTTTTTGTCTGTGAAGTTGCGTAGTTAGGTGCTCCTTTTTATTTTCCCATTGAAGCCAAACCTGAACATATTTAGAATGAAAATAAACTCATAAACTCACTAAATCAAATGCAGTTTTTGTATACAACCTATTTTAGTTGTTCTTGTCATGATATTAATTAACTCTTAAATTTTCTTTGAGTGCTATTTTTCAGGAAGTATAAACCCGAAAACACAATCCCCTAAA